AGGCGTCCCCTTTCCCCCGGCTGAGGCTGGAACACCAGGCAAAGGGGCAGCCCGGGGACTTTCCCCTAGGGCAGGCCCGTAGCAACCCTGAAAGCCTACCAGGACCCTCAAGGTCGTGCCCGCAGCCGCTGAGTCCCCAGCCGACCCTGACCACAAGGGGACTCCCATAGCACCTCTGGAGTTGGGGTGCTGCCCTTCCCAGAGGCACCCAGCTGCTGCGCCATGCTCCCGCCCCTCCCCGGAATCCTGCCCAGGGCTTACCGAGGCCTGGAGGGGCGGGAGGCTCCATCCGGGGCAGAGGGGCAGGGCGGGGCCAGCCTGCGCAGGCGGCCCTTCTTGGGGACAATGGTTGCCATGGGGAGGGTGGCACTGAGGGGGAGGGGCAACGCCAGGGGCTTGACTCGGTGTGCAAAGGCAGTAGAACGCTGCGGAGTCCTGCAACTTGGCAAGGGCTGACACTGGGGAGGAGCTGACCAAGGACACTCTGGGCACAAACCGTTAACGGCAACAATCTTTTATTACCAAAGTCGAGCAAGGTTTAACTCTCCGCCCAGCTCACAGCATCTCTAACAGGATGGCGGTGCAGGCCTAAACAATTTAAATATACATACACACGTGCATACCTGTTAAAAAGAACAGTAAAAAAACCTCCTTCAATGTTCCCGAAAGAAAAAACAAACAAACAACACCCCCAACTTATTTCAGGCCATAAAAAAGAGCATTTATAATCTTATCTATCCCACCCCGTGCACACACACAACTCAGCAGTAAAAGCAATGGCTCAGAAATTAAAATTTGTACTAGTTGTTTAAAAAGAGAATCCTTTTGTTGGAAAATGTCCTTCATTGGGGGCTATTAGTAAAAAATTATAAAACTTAAAAAAACAACTCGGGATCAACTCCCACGAGCATTCTTCCCCATAAAAAAACCCTTTTCTCCTTTTCCTACCTTGTTTACCAACTTCCACCCTCCCTTCCAGGAAACCCTCCCTTGGCTCAGGGGGTGCAGATCTGGGTGGACACTGACCACCATTCTGCCAAAACGTGCCTCGCCGCTGCCCATCCAGGTGGTCTCATGACAGGTCCGCTGGGAAGGTGCAGAGATTCCCTGGGGCTTCCCAATGTCCCCATTTCTTCCCGTTCTAAGATCCGTGGTGGAAACAAGGGTGCAGGCTGGTGAGCAGGGGCCTTCCCAAACAAAACTACCCACCACCTTCGACCTTAAAGCCTAACCCACCAGGTGAAAACGGGCAACAGCCACCTAACTGCCTACAAGGGTGCCCGTGCCCCCCTGTAGCCCTCACAGTGCAGGTGGCAGCTTGTGGCAGTCGAGAAACTGACCGGCAGCGTTGCATTTGCCTTCAAGCCACCGTGCAAAGAAGGCGCAATGGCCACATGGGCAAAAGGCACTTGAGGGGAAAAAATATTTTTAAAGCGGGTTTCACGTCCAATCCTTTGAGTGGTGGCTTCCTGCACCTGGCCAGCAGCGGGCAGCCCCTTTAACGAATCACAGCGCCTTCCAGTCGATGGGCTTGCGGCCGTCCTTGCGGAGCAGCTCGTTGGTTCTGGAGAAGTGCCGGCAGCCGAAGAAGCCCCGGTACACAGACAGCGGCGAGGGATGGGCGGTCTGCAGCACATGGTGCCGCTTCTGAAAAGGCAAGCGAGAGTTAGGGGGGTGCCCCATCGGGGACCTCGTCCAGGGCTCTTCTCGAGCACCTCCGTGGGGGCACCATGTCCCGGGTGCAGTATGGCCCTGTTGCGCTGGGGGTGTGTGTGTGTGCAATGGGGACCCCTAGGAAATATGTCCAGGGAGATACAATCACAAGGGATGATGGGAGGGGGGCAGGCTCCTTCTGAGTAAATAAAGTAAGAGGATAAACAGTTCAAAGGTCTTTTAAGATCCAAACACCAGAGGTCAAAGACCAAGCAAAAAGGATTAAAAATAAAAGAAGAAAAAGACTTGCATACCAAAAAACTCCAAAGAGCCATGGAAAATGACTTCTCAGAGTTCAAGAGGAAGCCAACAGTGGCGTCGACTTTCTAGTTGTCTGGCGGCGGCGCTAGCTGGGTAAGGACTGGCCTGCTAACAGCAAGGCCCGTGGTTCAAACCCACTGGCCTGCTTGTCAGCCCCCATGAAGGATTTACGAAGTCTTGGAAAGCCTATATGGGGCCATCATTGAGTGGGAATCAAGCTAACGGCTGTGAGTATCTTGTCCATAAGGAGCCCCGGGGAGCACCGGGGGCCACGCGCTAGGCAGATTCAAACCCACCGGTGGCTCTGTGGAAATTAAGGCAGCCAGCTTCTGTAAAGGCTATATAGCCTTGGAAACCACACGACCACTGGTGCTGTCTCCTTGGGTCACTCTGAACCAGATGCAACTTGGTGGTGGCCAGCTTGGACCCACTGCAACGAAGCACAGTGCGCAGAGGAGAACTGCCTTAGCGGGCTCCCAGGGGTATTGTCTATTCAGAAACAGAGACCAAATCCTTTTCCCACAGAACGACCGGTGGCTTCAAATGGCCT